CAATTTCTTCTTTCATTATCAAAAAGAAATGGTAAAGGAAAACTTGCCTAAGAAAATAGTCCGATCGAATATAATTTTTTCTCGATTATTTTTGTTTCTCGGTCTAAATTTGATTTAGTCTACCTTCTATTTATAGAATCTGAGGACGAGCATGAAGATATTGATGACTCAAGTGATCCAGATCAACATCAAAGTTAGTGAAAAAGGGTATTAAGGAAGACAAAAAACCAAAATATCTGATATAATTACATGTAATTGTGTTGTTTGATCGCTCGGATGAGTGTAGTCCTGGGAAGGAGTGTTGTCGGTAGTGGTGACCGGCGTTTCGACAACCTAAGCAAAAGTCATCATCAGAGTCAGGTGAATAGTTGTTGTCAGTCGAATGTTCTAAGTCCGGTTTGTATAAACTGATTGGTCAGTTTTACTGTGATGTTATTGGCTGTAAGACTCAAGTAGCGTAAGTCGGTCGTGATTGGTCGGTTTCAATCATTCGGTAAAGTTAGGTCGTTCTGTTCGGTTCGTTTATAATGTTACTGTCGTGAATGAGTCACTTGTACGGTGCCGGTAGTGGTTGATACCTGTCGAGGGGAGTCTTTTTTAGTTAATAAACCAGCTTTCCAGAGTCAGGCCTGAAGGTAGTTTGTACTGTGGGTTAGGCCTTGCGCAGTCATTAGTGTGGTTCGTAAGTCGGTGATGTTCAGCAATGTGATTGTTGACATCACCTTCCCTCGTCGCTCGCTTGTGTTCAGTCAGTCTTGATGTCAGGTTTCTGCCAGTCTCTCCATTGAAGGAGGCGCAGCAGTCTGAGCAATTGTTCTTATAAACCGCTCCCAGTCTGTTCCTCGGTTCGTTAGTGTCTTTGACGTTTGTCAGTAACTGACGTAGTGTGGTGATAGGTTTGTGGGCGACGCGGATATTTAAGGGTTGTAGGATGCGCGAGATGTCTTCAGATATGCCCTTTATGTACGGTATAGTCTCTGTAGTCGTAGGAGTTACGGTGTCGTTGGTTTCGGTAGTTTTAGTAACGCGGTGAATGTTTCGTTGGATAAAGTCTTCGTTACAGTTGTTCTTTGAAAAAACACGGTCAAGGTACTTGTTTTCGTCGGATAAGCT